CTTGCTTTGGCCCTGGTTCAATATGGAGCCAATTTGGAGGTGGCAGCATAAAATGCAAAAACGGCAAAGCCTCGGGGATTTGCACCACCAACCCAGCTCAGTCGTCCCAACTCGAAAGCCACTTCGCTATCCACCACACCATCCATCGCTGCCAGCAGCTTAACCGTGGAGAACACATATGAAATTTCCACGCACTTTTCAGCACATTTCAACGTGTGGCTAAGCAACATCCATTACTTTCAATGCGAAGTCCACTGGCATCTTCTACTGTACGAACAGTCGACGCCATGAATGAAACGATGGTTCTTGGGATAAACGGCAATTTCTGACAAAATCATTTTCACTCTTTTTTTGAATACAGATGGTCATTTAGCGGAAATGGACCATAGTTCTGTACTCAATGCTCATGCCCCTACACCATGCAAAAAACCATTTTCAAAAAGCGTCCCACGCTTCGTAAGAGGAATACGTTCCGAATTTAGTAACATTCTACAGCGTCATTGTGCAAAATTGATATGTGAAACATTAAATGGCCTTCAACACTTGTTTCATTTTGCAGGGGTGTTGTTTTAGGTGTCCTATGAATCAAATCCTCCAACAACCATAACAGCGCCAACTTTGGACAGCACATTTCGTAGATTGCATGGACGTCGGGCCCATCGTAGGCCGAGCTTCGTGAAGTTTAGGCATGCTCAGCACGCGTAAGGTCTTGCTCACTCCTTGTATTTTTTTAAACTACATCTTACTTGCCAAGTCTGTGAGGCGTTATTCTAGACATGAAGGATGGATCGATCGGATGGATGGGAATCGAAGGGCGGGGCAGGAGGTATATAAGCGCGAGGAGGCCATTGCGGATCGTCATTGGAAGTGTCTTGGCTCGAAGCGGTTGACTTTGAAAAAATTTAAGCAGTCACATTCACCACGAGGAACCGGCAGAAAAGGCTGTAAGTAGTTCCTTAGCCTAGGTCGAAAGAGGGTTAGCTCACGATAGCTTTGAGCTACCAGTGTAACGCCTGGGCCAGCGCTCCTACCCCTCCCGTCGGAGTGCAATAGCCACCGAGTTGTTTTTGTGCATTCAAATCCCATTGAATCCAATGCATCTAGGTCGATTTTTGAGGGATTTGCCTTTTTGCGTTCAACCGGTTGATGCCGGACATATCGCATTAATTTGTATCTGAGAGAAAGATTCAAAAGGGATGTCAGTCACTAGGCATAGTCTGCCTGAGTTCGCAGACTCGCGGTCCAACCAGGCCTCGTCGGACTCTTGCGACAAGCCTCAACCTGAGATGGGACGCAAGCTTGAACCTGACAATTGAATAAAAGGACGAGTAAAGAGTATGAATAGGAATTGTGCTATTGTTGATATGGAAAGTTGTAGTAGACAAAGCGCTGAGACTCGCAGTCGCTCAAAGCAATAAGGAACGAGCGAACTCACATCTGGCGACCTTCTCTTCTTCTCTGGTGGAGAACAACTACGCCCGCTAATCTCGGTTTGCAGCAAATTCAACCCTTAAATGTTACTCTGAGCATACTAAAAACTGAATCCTGCAACACTTTTGTTATTACGAATTTGAGTTATCAGTCTTGCCGACTTGGAAAATCTACCCACCCAAATTAATGATTTCGAAGAGGTGTTCTATTCGCCACTGCGCTGTGGCCTCCAAATACGGCTCCATCACGGATTCATCAACTACTTTCTCATTTAATAAAGACAGAACCGACTGGGTAATGCTGTCCATCGACGATGGTGGTAACATGCTCCCAATTAACATTGTGGTTCCAATAAGCGATGTATTCTTAACAAAGCAATTATCATTCAATTATTGCAGGTAAAAAGAAACGTTCGTTTGACTCACTCTGAAACACTGGAACAATTTTTTGAAAACTTTCGTTTCTAAGTTGTCGAGTTTCTGTTTCTCGACAGCGTACTTTGTTTCCATCAACGCCTGAATGAATAATTAGAAGGAAATGTCACCGCACTGTGAAACTTCAAAATCACCTTTCTCATGCTCATCCACATAACAACAACACATTCCAGAAACACTTGATTTCGTTTCCACACTTGGCTGTCTTCATCTAAACTATTCTACCTTCGCGATTATGGAAAGCTAAAGATGTGTGCTTCACAAGTAGTCCAACTACCGCACTCTCCAAATCAAATCCTGATCATTTCTTCATACATTGTTTTAAGCTGAGGTACGCCACGAAAATGCAAACGGAATTTGCTGGGTCACTAATCTTTCTTCAGAGCCTTGCAATTGGACATATGTGCTGAGGCAACTATCAGGACTTAAACCCCGAACTACTTCCAAGCTTTGGACAGGATTATTCGCTGCTGAAAATTTGTTGAGAAAGAGCGGTTTCTCTATTTTAAACCTTAACAGGACACAACTATTTATAAGCTCAGGTTCTGATAGCACCTAACATGGAACAGTAACTGCATTTTAGGACTCATTCCAAAACTAGAACACACCTGGCATAGGGATTTCTTGACTCGGTCCACTGAGAGTGGCAATCGTGTCATCCAATCTCAGTGACCCATCAATCGTAGAATCTGCCGACATTCCTCTTGAAAAGCTGCGATAGACCACTATCGTCATGAAAAGGATATGCTCCACTGAAATAGAAAAGTAATCATGTGAAAAGAGCTCAAAGTTTCAAGCCTCTCTCGTTCTGGAGATTAGTTCTCGAGAGCGCAAGAAGGGAAGACGCCTACCAGCATCCTTAACTGTAATCAGTCCAAGAGGGAAAAGCAGCCGGTGAAAGGTTAGCGAGCAGATACGACCGTGCTTAATCAGGAATGCGATACGTCGCATCCTCTCACCCTGATCCGCACGTTCACGATCAGGGAAAAACGACTGTAAATGAATAAAAAACGCACCGAAATTCGAGAAGTAACACTTTAAAAATACCTTGAAGATGAGAGGGACAATCTCACGGCGCACACTTTCTGAAGTTTCAACTTGCAGACGTGCTAGAACTTCTTCCATTGGTGCCACATCAAAGAACTAAAATACTAGCAACTACTTTGTTGAAGACGCTCACTAAGCTACAAAATACGTTTTTCAAGTAGGCTTGAATTAATCGCTGCGGACCCATTTTCGACAGATCTATTTTCTTAGCGAAAGCACAGCCCATGCTCTCCGTTTCTACCAAATTTTTACAAAAACTTCAAGCTCACTTCTTTATCAAGTGAGATCCACTATCACCAATGCAAACCAACATTTTTCATTACAAGTTTAAAGGTGCCCACCCTTATATACCGATGTCCTTTGAGCATTTTTAGCATCTGAAAAGCTGCCACTCTCACTCGCTCATTTTTGTCATTGATGCCATTAAGTGTTATACATTTGAGAGCATGTTCAGCTGCATTCAAACATGCTGGTACACCTATGAGATAACGCATCCCCTGAAATTGGGAATTTAATAACAATTCAGGTGCAAAGATGAATCTTTACAGTGAGTAAACCCAAAACAACGAGCATGACCCAAACCTCGAATACAGCCAACCTCACGCCGACAACCGAATCGCGAGACAAAGTATCCACAATCTGAATATGTAAGGATTAGTCAAATTTGAAATAAATTTACGTTCTGAAGGCAAAGGATCACTATCTGTTGATTCCAGTGATCTTTTCGACCCTCTATTTCCGGCTTAAACCACTTTTGCTGCGCACGATACTGTGCGCGTATCATAACCTCTGAATGTCGATCTACTCTTGAAGGCACCGTTCACTCAAATTTGGGTAATCCAGATTATGTTGAAAAATGGAAGACAAGATCGAAACTAGCGCGAATGAGGTGAAGAAACTGCGTGCATCGGTGTTCCAAAGCGAAAAAAGGCTTCGAAAAACCGTGAAAAAGGGGGCTCGACGAGAATGAAACAAGAAAGATGAAGAAGGTGGGGCGCCCGGACGAGCTAAACTTCACTGCGCGCGTGTGGGTCCTGGTGCGAATAACAGACAATGGTAAGCCAAAATTCATTCACTCATAAGCATAAATAAACAAAAAAAAACCTTAGTAGCAGCAAAAGTAGCTCACCTTTTTCAGCCTCTAGGAGTAGGAAATTAAATAAGGGATCGCGGCAGCAAAAAGAAAAATAGAGGAAAAAAGAATGGGAGAAAAACATCGCGTCATCACTCGGCGATTAGCTGATAGTGCGTGGGTCCTAGAACGAATAATAGAAACCTGTATTGTCTCGACACTCGTCTAACGCGACACCGATCGAGAGGCGAAAACGCGAACTACGGCAACAACGGGGCTTCCACTATGCCCTAAGCGCCGAGATTGTGGAAGCGAGAGGGTCCTCTCTACCACCCATGGGGGGCGCTGAGTATCCTAAAGGAAGAGCTTAGTAACTTTTTTTTTATCGTGAACGGTGCCTTTAAGATGCACTGAAGAGGGAACACCTCAGCAACGAAAAGGCACCCTGCTTTTGATATGGACCGTTTTCATCAATTATTGATCGCTATCGAATTCCTACATTATTATTGCACTCACTTTACGAGATGGTACAAAGCCGTTTCTCCTACCAATTTAGTACGTCAGAAATTGCCCACCGGAAGGGCATAATCCTAACAATATTGCACTTCGGTGAATACCAACATCCCTTTTTGTTCCTATCCGTTCACCTAGACAGTTATAAAAGTCTAGACTCTTGAAATCTAGAGGGTCTAGAAGACGACTCGTTCGTATTTATAATTAACCCTACCGCCAATTGAGTTCCGAGCCCCCATAGTTAACAATATTCAGAACTCTATCGATTTACCTAGGTCTCCAGCTTAAATTCCATGATGAGTAAAGTACCCCTCCCTGGTAGTTGCAAAGGGAGCGAAACTGTGTATTAGAGGCCAAATCCACTATCTCAAAGGCTTTGAAGAAGGATTGTCAATTCAGACTCGCACACCCTCATCTACCGTAAACATTTGCATTTGTAAAACAGCGACGGAAAGGTTGGCTGCTTTCGTAGTCCACGATTCGGCCCGGGACCAGTCGCACGACTGGGGTTGGCCTTAAGTTGATCCGACCAAGCATTCAATTGGGAGAAAGTCAGTACACCAGAAAAGCGGGTCCCTATTCCAAGACAAATGCCGAAGAATAACAAAACAAGAACAAATAGAAAGTGAAAGCTGTCTTCAAAAGGCAAAAATATGGCAACCTACTCTACCCAATTCCTGTTGGTCGCCAATACTATCTTAATGTGGTAAAGCTCAAAATCACTCTGAGAGCAGATGAGCAGAACACCATCACATGTGTAACGCTCAGAGCCTGTTTTTTAGGTCCACAAGGCGGCTAGGCACGCTATTGCGTGCGCTAGAGGCTCTAGCCACTAGGGACGGAACCATATGAGTTTCTGATTTTCATTACAGAACTTTATCATCTGAGCCTCTTCACTGACACCTCTGTAGCGGTCATCGTTTTTTTTTTGGGAAGTGAGATGGGGCCGTGTGTGGCCATAAAGAGTACTCAATACTCTCAATGTAAGCCCACTTTAGTGCCAATCTCGCCCACTTGTGGGATCTGACCACATTTGTTCTACTAAATTTTAAAACTTTTCCCGCATCCCACAACGTTTCTAAATAGCTTTAAAATTTTGATTTAAGCCCCGGCCGCTCTAGTGCCACCCCCGCCCACTTCTGGGATTTGACCTTATCTGTTCTTTTACACCTTCATACCTTTTTGCCGCATTCCAGAACGTTTCTGAACAGAGTTATAAATTTTTGTCTTAGCTCCACCCACTTTAGTGCCAACTCCGCCCACTTTAGTGCCAGCCCCGCCCACTCTTGGGATTTGACCTTATTTGTTCTTTTACACCTTAATACCTTTTTGCCGCATTCCAGAACGCTCTCCGCCCACTTTGGTGCCAATCCCGCCCACTTCTGCGATTTAACGACATTTGTTCTTTTGCACCTTAATACCTTTTGCCGCATCCCAGAACGTTTCTGAACAGAGTTATGAATTTTTGTCTTAGCCCCACACACTTTAGTGCCAACTCCGCCCACTTTAGTGCCAGCCCCGCCCACTTCTGGGATTTGCCCTTAGTTGTTCTTTTGCACCTTAATACCTTTTTGCCGCATCCCAGAACGTTTCTGAATAGAGTTATACATTTTTGATCAAAGCTCCGCCCACTTTGGTGCCAGCCCCGCCCACTTCTGGGATTTGACCATATTTGTTCTTTTGCACCTTAATACCTTTTTGCCGCATCCCAAAACGTTTCTGAACAGAGTTATGAAATTTTGTCTTAGCCCCACACACTTTAGTGCCAACTCCGCCCACTTTAGTGCCAGCTCCGCCCGCTTCTGGGATTTGCCCTTAGTTGTTCTTTTGCACCTTAATACCTTTTTGCCGCATCCCAG